TGTGTGTGTGTGGCCAGCTCAGCCCACCAGGGGGCGGGGCTGGCTGGCATGTGGTGCTGGGGGATTGAACCGCAGTCTCTGTGCTTTGCCAAGCTTGTTCCAAGTAGGTGCTTTAGACCACTGAGCCATCTCTCCAGCCCTGTTTTTGTTTTCTGAGAGAGTCTTGCCATGGCGTTCAGACTGGCCTTCAACTCATAGTTATCCTCCTGCCTCAGCCTAGCAAGTGCTGGTCCCACTTTGTAGCACTGTGCCCAGCTCACTCTTGACTATAAGTGGTGCTGCAGTGAGTTCATGGGTCAGTTTTCTGGGGCCGTGTGTTCTCATTTCTCTTGGGTGTGTAGTACTTTGGAGTGGATGGCTGCGTCATGGGAACTCTGTTTAAGCTTTTGAGGTTTTCCAAAGTAGCAGCACCATTTGACAGTCACTTCAGCAACACAGGAGAAAGAGAGTCCCATATCCTTCCTGCCTTGTCACTAGCTGTGTTTTTGCTTATGGCCATCCCAGGGAATGCAAAATAGTGGCTTGTTTTGATTTTGACTTGCATTTGCCTGGAGGCTGAGTTTATTTTTAATGAACATCTTCACTGACATAAAGCATCTTATAGGGGCCAGGGAGATGGCTCAGTGGAATAAGCGCTTCCCTGGCAAGTGCAAGGGCCTGAGTTCAATCCCCAGTTCCACAAAAAAGAAAAATAAAATAAAATAAAATAAAACATCTTGTAAGTATTGATGTGGTTTGCAGCACAACAAAAAGGAAGGTAGCTGGAATTTCCTACAGGAAAATGATCTGGACATTGAGAGGGGCTATGCCTGGGGTCAGAAGTAGAAAGAATCCTAGCCAGTGAGGCACCTGGTGCTCCTTGAGTTGGGGGGCAGTGTGATCCTGTGTCAGAGCGAGGCAACAGCTTGAGTTATTCTGGACTTTCAGTTCTAGTTTACTTTCTATCCCTGGCCTCTGCCACGGTCTGGCTAGATAATGGCAAAGCAAGAAGGGACGATGGATAGCTCCTGCAATGGTGAGGAATTGCATCTGGGGGGAGGGGATCCAGCCAGCGTGCAGGTTCCTACTACTGATCGCATGGCTTCTCCTTTAATTTTCATTCTGTTGGTCCTGCCGGGTCCACAAATTCCTGGGTACCCACCGCCCCTGCATTGAGCGTCCCTCCTGGGACTGTGGTATGCATTGCATCACAGTGTAGACCCGACCTGGATGGACTGCTCCGACTATGCGGTTTGGTAGGGCAGACCTCCAGGGAGAAGGAGAGTAGCTTCAGCCTGTTGTTGTGTTTGTTTGTTTTTTTTTTTAGTGGAATCCGGGATTGAACTCAGGCCCTTGCACCTTGCCAGGGAAGCAATTCTTCAGCCTGTTTTAAAGGAAAATTTCTAACCGTTTAGCCGCACAGAGGGAAGGGCTCCTGTGTGTGCTGCTCCCCACCCAGGGACTGTTGCCCCAGCGCAGGCGACCTTTCTCACTGCCCCTGTTGTCTCTTGCAGGCAGCCGCGAGACCGCTTTCACGTATGCCGTGAGTGCTGCCGGTGTGGTCAATGCCATCAGCCGGGCTTGCCGCGAGGGTGAGCTCTCCACGTGTGGGTGCAGCCGGACAGCACGGCCCAAGGACCTGCCCCGGGACTGGCTGTGGGGTGGCTGTGGGGACAATGTGGAGTACGGCTACCGCTTTGCCAAGGAGTTTGTGGATGCCCGGGAGCGGGAGAAGAACTATGCCAAGGGGTCAGAGGAGCAGGGCCGTGTGCTCATGAACCTGCAGAACAATGAAGCAGGTCGAAGGGTAAGGTACAGGCCTGCGGGCTCAGGCCAGCTCTCAGTTGTCGCGTTTCTATACTTGCGGGACATCCACCCCTCCAGACACACAAAGTACTGTGGAGTTCTTGGCTTTACCCTCCTGTGTAATTGGAATAGATAAGAAGTTCAGACCATTAGGCCCGATGCAGGATTTACGATTTGCTAAAGGCTCAGGTAAACTCAGAGCTGACTTTTAAGAGCTGCTATTGTACATAAGCAGGAAGCACAGTTGAGTGCTAATAGCAAGCGCACTTTTGTGCTAGGAGTCTTTAAACAAGTGGGAGTGTGAAAAAAACAACTGCCTTTTCAGGGCTTGAGCAGTGTCTTGCCAATTTCGCAGAAGAGGTGACGGTCTTCTGAGACGGTTTCAGGAGTTAACAGCACAGGCTTGTGGGGAGGGAGCTCGGTTCTGTGTGTTTGCAGAGTGTACCTCCTGTCACGTCCCTTTGCCATGTGCCAGAAAGTGGATCCTTTTCCTGTCTGCAGCTTGCTCAGAAGGGTCCTCTCTGAACACGAGTCTGTCCCACAGTGGTCTGCTCTGCGGGACACGCTGTCTTCTCCCTCATTGCAGCGAGGGTTGACAGGAGGTGGGGCAGTGCTGTGGGGTCCGAGCACAGGCAAAAGGCCTCTCAGCAAGCACTACAAGCTTCTTCCTTGGGGTGTTGTCCCCACTCGGGGCTGTGTCATAGCACCTACTTCTGGGTCCCAGGCTATAGTGAGACCAAAGAAAACTAAGAATAAGAATAGCAGTTTCTTCAGCTCAGAAAGGCTCACTGGCAGTTCAGCTACAGGATGTAGATACAAGTATTTTTTGTTTGTTTGTTTTTATATTTATGTATCAGTTTACAACATCAACACCTGTATTATGGGAGCATAAAAAGTAAATGAACTTGGACACGCCTTGTGCGAATCAGGGATCTCGTGATACTGGCTTAACAGGACTTGGTATACTCGTGTATATGTAGCACCGTGCACACTGTGACCTCCCTCAAATAGAAATTAGAATTGGTCATTTGCAGTTGGGTATGGTGGTGCATACTTGTCATCGCTGGACTCTGCTGAGGCAGGAGGATCAACAGTTTAGGTACAGCTTAGGCAATGGAGCAACTTAGCAGAACCCTGTCTCCAAATTTAAAAAAAAAAAACAAAAAATTAAGAGGTTCTGTAGATATGGCTCAGTACCAAGACTCAGCACCACATCCTATATTCAGAAGCTAGTTTTGTTTGGTCAGAGCTGGCTGCGATGGTAGGAGTTCTTTTTTCTTTGTCATTTTGAAACAGGGTCTCTCTATGCAGTTCAGGCTGGCCCTGAGCTCACTTTGTAGCCCAGGCTGGTCTTGAACTCACAGTGGTCCTCCTGCCTCAGCCTCTGGGTAGTGGTGTGCGCCACCATGCCCAGCCACGAGGAGTTCTAGTCATGGCTCTGATCTGCGGTTACCTTGGTACAAAGCAGAATGGAAAGCCTGAAGACAGCTAGCTGACTTCACGCTGGGCCTCTGCGGAGCTGCTGTCTCCTCAGGTCACCTCTCTGTGACAGTTCATCTGGTGTCCAGCTCGAGGAACAGAAAGAAAATTTGGAGAAGGGCTAAGGCCTTCTCCTTACCTCCTGAGAGCCCACCTATCCATTTTCAAGATCCTGGCTGCTGGGCGTGGTGCTGGGCGCCTGGAGGCCCAGCTCCTGTGGAGGCTGAATCAGGATGATTTAGGAGTTGGAGACCAGCTGAGCAAAGCAGCAAGATTCTGCCTCAAGGTCCCAGCGCAAATAGCGCCTCACTCTTGACATCTTTCCCATTCCCCATAGTCCCTCCCTTGTTTGCACTTCAGCAGAGCGTTCTGTACTTTTCATGAGGCACTCCTCACCCTGCTCTCCTCTTTTTGAGGACAGGGATGCCCACCTGGGCTTCTTTGAAGCACCCCCACTGTGTCTTCCTTGGAAGGACACGTGACTGAACAGAGAGGTTCCCACGTGGCCCCTGAAGCTTGGAGGAGGCTCTGTTTCCTGCAAGCTGCAGGCCCTGAGGAGAGAGCAGGGACACTGACTCTTCCCTTCTCCTCATAGTCTTGACCAAGGCGCTTCTCGCTTTGTTGCCTTCATTGTGTGTCTGTCCTGGCCCTTATCTAGGCAGAGTCCCCCCGTCTGCCGTGGTTCTCACTTCCACACCTTCCCTGGCTTCCTCTGTCTGTCTCCCCGCCTTTGCCCCCTTCCTCTGGTCTCCACACCTTTCAAGAGCCCTTTATCTCTCCCCGACCTCTGTCTGCTCCAGGTGGGAACCCTTATCCCTCTTGATTCTTCTTCCCTCCAGGGAACAGGCCTCAGCCATCAATCACCATCTGGGGCCAAGGGCCTTCACTGTCCACCTCACACCTCCACAGAGAATTCTCTGGGGCACACTGGAGGGCGGTGGGTATTGAGAATAACCTGGGCCCCTGGTTTATGACCGGATTTTTTTTTCTTAGAAAAGCAAAAAGCTGATTATCAGGGATCTGACATTGTGGCCACAGAGTAAATCTTAAGCCCACTTTATCAGCAATTCCTCTTAGCCTTTGAAGCGCCTCTGGTGGGTCCTTCCTTGATGCTGATGCAAGCTCAGGGGTGATAGTATTGCCTGGTCAGTCAAGGGTTTCTAAGCATTTTTCAGATAAAAGCATTGTACCTAATCCTCATGACATTCCTGTCAGATACCATGCTCCTCACGTAGGATATTGTCAGGAGAAAGACCGAGGATTGAAACGTTTTTTCAGCTTCGCTTTTCAGTGCTGAGGATGGGGACTCAGGGTCACATGTACGAGGCCAGCCCTCTACCACTGAGCTACACCCTGCGTCCCACATTTTATTATTTTTCAAGTCAAAGTGCCCCCTCTACCTTCTCCTACAAAAGGAGCTTATGTAGATACGCTCCATAGAAAACTATGGAGAAAGACACATATGGTGGGGCTGGTGAGATGGCTCAGTGGTCTAAAGCACCTACTTAGAACAAGCTTAGCAAAGCACAGGGACCGCAGTTCAATCCCCCAGCACCACATGCCAGCCAGCCCCGCCCCCTGGTGGGCTGAGCTGGCCACACACACACACACACATAAATAAATAAATAAATAAAATTAAAAAACAAAAAAGACACGTATGGCAATCTCCACAGTGTCTTCATAGTAGAAGGATGGGAAAATGTCCCAAGAGCAAAAGATAGTGACATTCTTTCCCTGGGATTTGCTTTGCTGAAATTCCTGCCCTACCCCATGAAGTCTGGGTTTAATTTGGCTTTCTCTAAATCTTCCTGAGTATTTATTCCCGGTGGAGCTGCTTATTCTGTTCCCCTTGTAATAAGGCACACAGTTGTAGACCCTTCAAGCTTCCTCCTCTCCGCAGCAACAGCTGCCTGCCATCCAGCTCTAAAACAAGGACCGTTTCCAGGGGGGCGTCAGGCCACAGCTCAGACCTGGGGCATTTGGACCAGAAGGATAATTGTTCTCCCATCTGTCAAGTGCCTGCAGGGACGGGTATCAGTTCCTGTGTTGGCGGGCCTGGAGCTGCCAGGCCTAGTGCCAGTGCTTCTAACCTTGGGGCAGGGGCCTCCTTTCTCCCCTTCCCAAAGCCACCTTGAAGTCCCAAGATGCATACAGGCATGATCACATCCCAGCTCCCTCCCAGGTGGCCCTGAACACATTACTGGGACTCCCTAGACCGAGTCTCTCAGCCATAAGTTAGTGGGAGTATTTCTCTATGGGGGGGATCAAGACTGTTGACAAGGCTTCTATGAGCGGATGATGGTTGTGCTATTTTTTACACCTGCAGTGGTCTCTGCTTAGCACTGAATAAAGACACAATCTGGGAACTCTTGAAAAGAAATCTAAGAGAAACCCTTGAGAAATGAATCCTGACTTGGTTGGTGACAATAGCTGTGGCCCAGGAAAACGTTCTGAGGCAGATATGCATTTTTCATCCCGCCATCTGCATGTCTGGGCCTGCTGCCAGGGGTGCCCGACACAGCTCATCGGCGTGCCTTCCTTGAGAAGCACTCTGGGGGCAGCTCTGTGGTCTGCTCCTGCTGTTACCTTTCAGTCTAGGATAACCGAAGCTCAAAGCACTCCGCTCCACGTTGTTGAGGTTCAGTGACTTGCAGGTACCTTTGTTTGCAAGGGCTGAGTCTTGAGATGCTGGGCTAGAAGAACTCGGCCTTGCTGACTAATGTGATGGCTCCCTGGAGGCTCCTGAGGATTCTAGGGTTCATTACCAAATGACAGCGCAGGAAAGGAACCGTGTAGTGCTGGGGGATTTGGAAGGATCTGAGGCAGCTTTGGGCTAACCGGGACTATGCCGGTGTTGCATTTTGTTTTTCATTTATGTATCTGGTACAGGGCCTCATTACACAGCTCGGACTCATAGTGATCCTCCTATTTTCAGCCGCCCCAGCGCTGGGATTTCAGGCATGCACGCACCACCATGCCTAGACTCAGTGGGGCCCACTCATTGTGCCCAAGGGCAGGGCCAGTGTGGCACGTGGGACTGGGGATCGAATCCTGGTCCCTACATTTGCCAGAGCAGGATCTTAGTCCACTGAGCTATCTCATCGTGCGCCACCCACCCCCCCTTTAAGGTCTGAAAGCAACTAATTTTTTTCTTTTCTGACTTGTGCCTCATATTATGCAAACACATGACACATTTTCTTGGGTTACATTTACTTGTCTGAGATTTTGAACATGATGGAAATTTTGATCTGGATATGGTGATGCTTGCCCGTATTCCTAATACTCAGGAGACTCAGCAGCGAGGATCACTTGATTCCAGGAGTTTGGGACCATCCTGGGCAAATGGCAAGACCCACAGGCAAGAAGGAAAGAGGGAAGAAAGGAAGGGAAGAGAAAAGAAGGGAGGAAGGAAAGAGTAAGGAAGTAAATTTGAGGATTGGGGTGTAGTTCAGTGGTAGGGCACTTGCCTGACATGGACTAGGCCCTGGGTTTGATCCCCGAAACCACAAAAGGAAAAAAAAAATTAGGTTATAAAAATGACATTTGTGGGGCCGGGGAAATAGCTCAGTGGAATAAGTGCTTCCCTGGCAAGCTCAAGGGCCTGAGTTCAATCCCTGGTTCTGCAAAACAAATGACATTTGTTGTAATCTATTCCATGAAGCATGAAATGGGTAATGCCAATGGGCAAAGTGCCCCAGTCCCCTCCTGGAAGGGCACACTGCATGGTCTTCCTGCTCTGTGTGTTGCTCCTGTTACTTGCTCTCGTCCCAAGCAGCAGAGAACCTGCTCTACCCTGAAAAGCTACCTCCACCATTGACCCTTGCACGTACTTGCCGTGTACCTGGCCATGGCAGCCACAGCCGCGGTCTTGACCTTGTCCCTCAGGAGTCTCCTCCTTATTCACTTCTTCCTTGTCCCCTCAGGCTGTGTATAAGACGGCCGATGTCGCCTGCAAATGCCATGGTGTCTCAGGGTCCTGCAGCCTGAAGACCTGCTGGCTCCAGCTGGCCGAATTCCGCAAGGTGGGAGACCAGCTGAAGGAGAAGTACGACAGCGCGGCCGCTGTGCGCATCACCCGCAAGGGCAAGCTGGAGCTGGTCAACAGCCGCTTCAACCCGCCCACCCCGGAGGACCTGGTCTACGTGGACCCCAGCCCAGACTACTGCCTGCGCAATGAGACCACGGGTTCCCTGGGCACCCAGGGCCGCCTGTGCAACAAGACCTCGGAGGGCATGGACGGCTGTGAGCTCATGTGCTGTGGCCGTGGCTACGACCAGTTCAAGAGCGTCCAGGTGGAGCGCTGCCACTGTCGGTTCCACTGGTGCTGCTTCGTCAAGTGCAAAAAGTGCACTGAGATCGTTGACCAGTACATCTGTAAATAGCCGGAGAGGCTCCGCGCCTGACGCTGTCCTTCGCTCCGCCTCAGAAGAGTATATTATATAAATCTATATAAATATATTTTATATTTGTATAAATAAATGGATAGGTAAAATAATCCAGAGAAGAAAATGGAAAGGCAAGCTTATTTAAGAGAACTTGGCCACCTTGGAGGGCTGGGCTTTGCGGTCCTCTGCTTCCGGGGGCAGGAGAAGGCTTCTGTTTCCCTCCCTCTGGAGAGGACTCTCAGAATGAAGTACTTGGAAATGCCTCTTGTCTATCCACCGCCACCTCGAGGAGCGAGGAAGTGGCCGGGTGGAGGAGACAGACGATTTTGCCTGTAAGTTGGGAGGCCTTGCTGGGTTGACCTCACCCACAAAGCCGAGAGACTCTGTGGAAGGCAGAGGGCCGCAGCCTCACCCTGGTGGCTTCAGGGTCCAGCCCAGCTCACAGCTTGGCTCAGTAAGGAGATCAGTGCTTTCCTACTGTGTCACTCGGGTGCACGTTCGCAGAGCCCACGCTGGCAGGAACAGCTTCTTCCCAGCATGAGGAGAGGGAGAGGGCGGATGTCACCCTAACCTGGTGACTCCCAGGCTGATTTCCAGTGAGAACCTTTCCACGGTGCATAGCTCCTGCACCAAGCACAAAAGGGATCAACATGACCTGCTGTGACCAGGGAGGTGTGAGCTGGGTGTTTGTGCCTGGGCTGCAGGAACTTGGGTGCAACACCAACTGGGTGGCTGTCGCACTATCCTCTCCCACCGGGAGAGGACACTGCTGCTGTTGCTGCTGCTTTATCTGGCAAGAGAGGCCTCACAGACTATAGACGTCGCTGGGTCAGAGAGCCTGGCGTGCTCTCTTCATCTCATCCAGATGTACAGCTGCCCTCCATATTAAAGACCCTTCACCAGTTTTTTCTCCCTGTCCTTATTTGGGTGCATGATTATCTTTAATGAGTCTCTTTGGGTATTTTAATTTTTGGTGTTGGCAATGGAACCCAGGGCCTTGTGCATGCCGAGCAAGTGCTGTACCACAGAGCTGCACCCTCACCCAGGGCAGGCCTTTTCCTAAAAGACTGATCTTACCTGAGCCACAGAGATAGCTCAGCTCTCTATGTGCCTGCCTGGCAAGCACAAGGACCAAGGTTCGATCCCTGGTATCACATGCTCTTCTGGACCTGCCCTTGGTGTGCTGAGCCAGTGTAGTCATGCACGCCTGTAATCCCAGTGCTGGCGAGGCTAAAACAGGAGGATGAGTCAGAGCTGCATAGTGAGATCCTGTACCAAGCACATAAAATAAAATTTAAAAAAGCTTAACACCACCCACCTGTCTAGTTACTTGTTGCTGAGACAAAATACTCAACACACACAAGTGAAGGGAGGAAAGGTTTATTTAGCTCACAGTTTCTAGAGCTTTCAGCCTGTAATTGCCTGGCTCCAAGGCAGGGTGGCATGGCCCATGGCTTACAGAGAAGAAGCAGTTCATGGTGGGCAGAAGGCAGCAAAGCAACAAGGGATTTTTGTTGTTTTTGTTTTTTTTGGCGGAACCAGGGATTGAACTCAGGCCCTTGAGCTTGCCAGGCAAGCACTTTTCTACTGAGCTGTCTCCCCAGCCCCTTACAAGGGATGTCAACAGTGTCTCTCGGCCCCTTTTACACTGCCTAGGCTTCTGGTGGTGCCAAATCAGTGGACCACTTTAGTAATCCTGTACTTTTAATCTTAGCATTGCAACAAGAATTGGCCACACACACTAGATCCAGCCCCCTCTGAGAAAGCCCAGCCTATCACTGCATGAGGCTTTGAGGGGGACACATCTAAACCCAAGCCATATGTAACACCATCTACTCTTTTTTTTGGCAGAAGCAGGGATTGAACTCGGGCCCTTGCACTTGCCAGGGAAGCACTTATTCTACTGAGCCATCTCCCCCACCTCTATTATAATCTATTTAGTACAGATCTCACTACACAGATTGGACTTGGAGTGATCCTCCTGTTTTTCAGCCTCCCAAGTGCTGGGATTATAAACACACACCACCATGCTCAGTCTCATTCACTGTCTCAGTGCGCCCCAGGGGTGCAGTCAGCACAGCAGACCGGGGATCAAACCCAGTTCCCTGTGTCTGCCTAAGCAGGCGCTTTAATCCACTGAGCTATCTGGCACCACCTACTCTTAAGTGTTACTTTTCTTGTCCTATGCAGATCCTACCAAGTCAAGAGGTATGACTTGCCTTCTCCCCACCACCACCACCTTTTTGTTGTTGTTGTTGGGGGGATTCTGGGGCTCATGCTTGCTAGGCAAGTACTCTACCACTGAGCTATATCCCCAAGCCCTTTCCAGTTTTTTTTTTTTTTTTTTTTTTTTTTTTTTTTTTTTTTTTTTTATTTGAGAGAGAGAGAGAGAGAGAGAGAGACAGTAGTGTGTGTGTGTGGCCAGCTCAGCCCACCAGGGGGCGGGGCCGGCCGGCATGTGGTGCTGGGGGATTGAACTGCGGTCCCTGATGCTTTGCCAAGCTTGTTCTAAGTAGGTGCCTTAGACCACTGAGCCATCTCTCCAGCCCCTGTTTGTTTGTTTTTTTAAGACAGGGCTTTGCTATATTGCCCAGTGGGATTTGAAAACACCATAGGCATGCGCCAGTATGCCCAGCTTCTCATGAGTCTTGAGCTGATCCTTAGAACCCTGCTAAATGGTGTGAGGAGGGGTAAGGAATTGAGACTTTTTGAACACTAGTATGGTGATTAGAGAGACAGCAAAGCATGAAAATGAAGTAAGGCACTGCGCTTAAGCATTCTCCCCAAGGGGTAGCACAAAACTTAACAGTTTTTGCTCTTAATACTACTGTTATGGTTCTTTGTTTATTTGCTTGTTATGATACCAGGGATTGAACTCAGGATGTTGAGCTTGCCAGGCAGGTGCTTATACTGCTGAGCTACATCTCTAACCCAGTACTCCTATTATGAACAAGAGAATTTCTTGCTTTAAGTGTCAGCTTTTAGTGTATCTGCCCCTTTCTTTCCCTCGTATTTGCAGCCTCCTGAGTTAACATGGGTCTCTTTGCCGTTTCTTAGTAAAGCGAAGGTGGGGGTGGGAAGGAGTCACCAAGAAGGACACAGCCAGGCTGTGCAGCAGAGACCAGCCTGTCGTGAGCTGTAAACTGCAGACGCGCTCACTGGCTCCTAGAAAAGACTGTTCCTGGGTGAAGAGTACAATTGAAGAACTGGTTCAGGTTCTCGTGAGCAACTGATACTCAAAACTGTCCGGCAGAGGTTCTGTCTGAGGATGTGCACGGCTGTTCAGAACACTTACCCCCGTAGAACCCCAAGGACTTCCTGGCTGGACAAACGAAGAACCTCAGACCAACGAATGTTGTTTTCCAGCAGCTAACACTGTTAGTGCAGTATCATGGCCTGTGGTTTTTTGTTTTTTTTTTTTTTTTTTTTTTTTTTTTTTTTTGTGGAACCGGGGATTGAACTCAGGCCCTTGCGCTTGCCAGGCAAGTGCTTATTCTACTGAACCATCTCCCCAGCCCCAAAGGGAGATTTTTTTTTCCCCCCCGCGGATCCAGGGATTGAACTCAGGCCCCTGCGTTTGCCAGGGAAGCGCTTATTCTGAGCCATCTCCTCGGCCTGTTTTTTTATTCTTTCGATAGGAGTCTTGCTACGCAGTTCAGACTCATAGTGATCCTCCTATCTCAGCCTCCCCAGCACTGGGATTACAGGCGTGAGTCACCACACCTGGTTTGGGGGCCAACATGGCAACACCCAGGGACCCGGGGCCAGCACAGCATGCAGTACTGAGGATGGCACTCAGGACCTTGCGCTTGCCACGCAGGTGGGTAAGACTGCCAAGCTGTCTTCCCCAGCTCAGCCTGAGTTTTCTTGGTGGCATGGGAGCGAGTCCTGGGCAAATGCTGTATCATCTGGTGATTGAAACCTGGGGGCCTCGCAGCTGTCGGAAGTGACTTGTAAAGTAGAAATGTGCCCAGAGAGTGTGCAGACTAAAGACGGAGGCAGATGGGCTCTGCCCAGGAACCAGGAGGTGAGAGGAGGAAGGTCATGGCAGGCAGAGTTCGCGCCCCAATGGGGTTCCAGCTGAGGATCTGCAAGTGTTGAGCAGGGCCAGCACCCTTGTGAGCTTTTAAAAACGCAGAGCTGTACGCCTCCAACACCAAAAACTCAGAGTTGACCTGGCAGCTGCCTGTGACTGCTACACCTGCACCTTTCACTGGGACTCAAGGGATCCTTTGCTGGTGTCCAAAGCCTGCGCAAGACTTAGAGTTGGGAAGGGCAAACCAGGCTCCACAGGATCCCAGTTCCCAACCTGGTGATTGTGTGGCCCCGTGTAGGATTCCAGAACCTGAAATTTGTGATAAGCAACATGGAGTCTAATCAAAAGACCTTTGTGGGCTGGGGACATAGCTCGGTGATAGAGCGCTGGCCTAATGCATGAGGCCCTGAGATAGAAAAGAAAAGTGACCTTTGCACTGTGTGAAATACCTGTGCCTGGACCAAGCAGCTCCGGGCATTCCAGAATGTTGTGATCCAAGGGAATGGTACAGTGCAGAACTGATTGCCCCAGGCAGCCCACCTCCCTCCTCTGCCTGGGACTGACGGGGGAGCCTGTCCTTCCAGTTGCCACATGAGTGTACCAGGACAGTATTCACTTGGCTATTTGCCTTCACTTTGTCTCCAGGACAAAATATGGAGAAAGGTATGGCTGACTGCCTGCTCCATTCACAGCCCAGGCTGGACGGGGAGTAGCCAGGAGGGTTGGAAGACGTCATGGCCGGGTTAGGGTTAGGGCAGGCCTGCACTCCTAACGCCACCCAGAGCAGAGCCTCAGCAAGAACTGAGGTCTCATGTCTCATTTTGGAGCGCTGCCGTACGTACTTGGGTCTTATCCACTCTTTATTCTTTCTTTCTTTCTTTCTTTCTTTCTTTCTTTCTTTCTTTCTTTTTTTTTTTTTTGGTGGAACCGTGGTTTTGAACTCAGGCCCTTGTGCTTGCCAGGCAAGCGCTTACTCTACCGAGCTATTTCCCCGGCCCCCACTCTTTATTCTTAGAGCTGAGAAGCAAAACCTGCTGCTTGTACTGGACCCCAAACTGGTTGTCACTTGTGAAATTCTGCCCCACTTCCTCTCTACGCACCGTGTCTGGTTGAAGCTTTGTCATCCCTAGTTTGAGGAATTAACAAGACGGTACAGCTTGTGGATGAGATGGCTCCGTGAAATAAATCTTGCAGCTGTAGCAGCCTAGCAAGAAGCCTGTTACACCAAGTGTATACCTGTAATCCCAGCGATACAGGGGAACAAAACTCCCACCCTGAAGGATACCTGGGCCGAGTGCATGTTCTCTTAAACCAAAGAGTGAATTTTAGGAACAACGGAGGTTAAGAGTGATAGGTTTTCCAAGGTGTCTCAGTAGAGAAACAGAAGGAAAAAGGGAAAGGGCTTTATTGTCTTGGAGGACAAGGAGAGAATTTGGGAAGATAAGGAATTCTCTGGATTGGAACAAAGGGAGACTGAGGCTTTTATGGCCTTTTGCCAAGGGTGGGTTTTGTTTTGTTTAATAACTCCTGTATTTTTGACCATATAGCTTATTTTCCCACATGATAAAACAAGTGATGGAGGCTGGGGAGATAGCTCAGTAGAATAAGCACTTCCCTGGCAAGTACAAGGGCCTGAGTTCAATCTCCAGTTTGGCAAAAAAGAAAGTGATAGTTGAACAGGAGTGTGGCTTGAGGGGGATGTTTGTTTGTTTGTTTGTTTGTTTGTTTTTATTTAAGACCTTTATTAACAGGTGCTTGCAGTTTGTTGACTTTTTTGAAA